TTAATTTACGATACAACCATCATTTGTATTTAAAATCCTAATTTCATATGCGAGAGAGAAGAAAACAAAAAGAATTTGAGATGCATATATGAGATTTCACCGTCAATCATGTATATGAATGGTACTTAAGGAAGGTGGATAGCTAAGAACAAAAACTATAAACAAACATGTTTTGATATAAGTTAAAAATTGCATAACTTTTCCAAAAGGCTCACAACTACTTCTCTTCCCAAATAGATCGAATTGCAGATTTGTCAAGTTCTCCGTTTTAAGAACACCTGGCCTCAAGGTAATAGAACTTGAAAAATGATTAGAACTAACTACCCTCATACGATCATACCACACTTGCCGGTCACCCAAGGTATATGTGTAGACATCCACGAACTTGAATATGATAACCGAAAGACTGAAACGCAATTAACCCAGAATACAGAAAAAAAGCAATCATATTTGCATGCACTAAATCTTCGAGAAATGTAAAATTGGAAGAGCGGAGAGCAGATTTAAAAAAAATTGGCAATCTTTTTTAACTCTTATGAGTGCACTTATATTCATTTAATATCCACTTTGTACTATAAACATTTGCACATTATTTGAGTGTGTATCTTGCGATTAAAGTTCATCTAGTCCATCCATTTATAAGTGATTAAAGGCTAAGATTTGTTCTCACTTTTCATGGGATGACTACTTTTTACTTGAACTCATCCCTACACAGTACACACACTTAAAACTTGTAATAAAATATCATTTCAATACTCTATATTAAAACATAAGTATTACAAACTATTTTGGTATATATTATAAAATAACAATTTTTTTTTAATAATTTAAAGTTAAAGTTAATAAATTTTAATTCATAAAGTCAAATTGTAAACATAGTAAGTAAATCTTATAAACAAACAAAAGACGTTGCTGATTCTCCCTGGCGGCTTTGACGTCGCGTAGGGTTTTCTTTCCGCCAATTGTTTGTGCGGATTTTCTTCTCTAGCCTTCCAGAGTATTTTTTGAGTTTAGATTGTTGGTTATGGTTTTAGGATTTGGGCGACTTTCAGATTATCCATTGGATCTCGAAGCAGCGACAAGATTTCATCTTTGTTTTCTGATCTCTTTTCTCAGTTTGTGCAAGTCAATCTTAAAGGAGGCGTGAGTGCAGCTGCAGCTTTTGGAAACGAATGCAAGGTTCAAGAAGCGATAATCATGTCTTCTATGGATGATCTAGAACAGCGTTGTCTCATTCCTGCAATTGAGGAGGAGGTCGAATGGTTAGTTTTTGGCGAATCAACATGGATAGAGGCGGTGGTGATAGTGGAGGCGGCACAAGCGACGTTTTTATGTGTGGAACGTGCTTCCTTTGCCAAATCCGTTGGAGCATTCATGCTGCAGAGAATAGGCAATAGTTTGGGGAATGGAGACAATATAAAAATGTTTAGAATAATAGTACTATGAAACATTAAATTTGAATGTAACCCATTGGATGATTTGGTGATACCTTCTTGCTCCTTGACCTTTGCGTGAGTCAATATGATTATAGTGTGACCTGGATCATGTCTGTCATAGATAGATATCATCTTGGAAGCACAGTCTTCCGAGAGAGTACATGTAATCAAGAGACCACTACAATGTTGCTGAAAGATTAATTAAAAAATAAGATGTGTGGTTGATAAAGAATATATTACACTGAAGTAGTAATGGAGCAAGCTTTTGATGCTTACTCTAATCCCATTACCTTAGATCTTTCACAGCGAATACAACTTTTTTTGGAGTCGAAGAGAATTGATAATGAACCATTTTTGGAAAGCACATATGACATCTCCATTCAAAAAACAAACATGATAGAATTTAATGAGTAATAGGCGAAGGGTAAAGTAATATTACATATTAAAACATCAGTGTGAATAGTTCCATTGAGTGTATCTTTGAAACTCTTGAAGTCATACAGAGTCAAGGGAATGGAAGCCAGTTCTTTAAGAGTTGTGCCACTGGTGAATTGCAATTTGTAGGGATGGTCACTTGCTTTATATTGTCTTTCATTTGGCAAAACACAGAAGTTTTGCATTATATAGGTCCTACCTTCCATTAATTTTGGCTTCCAAATTACCATTTCAGTGTGTTTCAATCGTGCTTGTTTTCTGTGACCCTACATATTGTGGAGCACTCGTAAAAATTATAATTTTAAAAGAAAGCACGACAAACTTTGCAAAGAAAATAGAGCAATTTTAATGGTAGACATGTAGTCGTACCTTAGAATCCATCAGCATCTAGTCGTACCTTCCAAATCCATCAACCTTAGAAAACAGGAAGAATGGAGTCACTCATATATTGAATTTAACACATCTGAAGGTAAGGAATTACAAATACATATAAATATTTTTTTCCTAGGATCGCCTCATTATGAAGATTCAAGTTTTGATGAAGAACCACTATTTCTTGGGGACATTTTTTATGAAAAAAAAAAAAGACATTTATTAAAATCCTCAATGAAAAGTTACAATCGCTAATGAAGGAAGTAATCTAAAGAACAATGAAAATTAAAGGAGAACAAAGCTAATGAATGCAAAATCTAATGAGAGTAACAATTCGCAGCGAGCACCCGAAGGAGAAATTGTCATCAGCAACCCCAAAAGTAAATTGCAGTTCATCAAATACACCCAAACCCTTATTCTCTAATTCCCAATAACCTCACACAAATCACAGATCTTTTGGAATATCTGGTTGCCCGATTAAACCTTGTACCCATAAAGCTCAGTCTAACAAACTCTCCATTTTCTCTTGAATATGAGCATTTCTTCTAAGTTGAGATCTTGTCTTCCAGTTAGAGTCACTAAGATGATTGAGAAGTTCCCTATCTAAATCATCACCTGAAGAATCTGAAGTGTCACCACATTCAAAATGAGACTCACCCTCGAGTATAACATTATCTTGATAATGGAAGAAAGCCTGGAGAGGAATTTCAACATTGATCGTGCCAATAACATAATCAGCATTGTATTTCTCTAAAATATAATCTTTCTTGTCTTTAATTGCTATGGCTCCCACTTGAACATCCTCATTGAGCAAAGAAATATCCCTATTATCTTTCTCATTTTCAAGATTAGAAAGATAATCCATATTGAGCAAGTCTTCCTGGAAAGTCATAGATGAGAAAGATCCAACGCTCTCTGAAATAGAATCTTCATATGATGAGCTAGAACAAAAAAAAATCCTCCAAACAAGATGTCAATTAATGGCTCTTTATTCGCCTCTTTCAAAAAATCTCGTTGGCTAAGTAAAGAATAACAAAAAAGGTTAAAGTCGATTATCTTCAAATGACAGATGTAATTTCCAAGAACTCTCATACATGGTAAATGTCCATAATTTCCCGGTTAGAATTTGATAGAAAGATTAACACAACCAATTAATCCCAACCTCATTGATATAGAACAATTATATTTATCTTTAAATTGGCTTATTTGGATATCAGAAGCGGTTAGATTAAGGCAAAACAATTTAATTGCTTTCAATTCTAAGGTATTGTAATCGTAATTTGGAATTTTCAAAAGACTCACGCGACTGAGTAACTTTGCCGCTCTTCGCATCTTCCGTTCCTCCATTGTTGTAGTCGAGCCTCAACCCACCTCCAGAACGGAATTTTCATGTTCCATCTCTGTCATCCGTCGATTTCCAAATATGTTTGCCGCAATTTCCAACCGAGCAACGACAATCTATCCACCATCGTGGAGGAGATGACCAGTCCTTCAACGATGATGTCGTCCCTCTTGATGACGCCCAAAATCAACTCCCATACATCGCATGTCTCTCATCGACGCCGGCCAATTTGTGTCCGTCTACCTCTTGATGCGTGACGAAACCCCCTTCACTTGATCTCCCAACACTTTGGAACCGGTTAGGGAAACCTCATCGCCCAACGAGCGTTGGATCCTCGCGTAGCCACAGTCGTCATCCATCCCGTTTTAACTCTCTCTATCGATCGTTGTTGAATCGCCCTTTCAACATCGCCCCCCCCCCCCCCCCCCCACTCTAGTCCCTACCAATATAACCAACAAAAAAATTACATAACTTGATCTTTTCTAGTTTTAGGTTTTCTCTTTGAAACTCTTGGCCATGATGTGGGGACACTACTGCAACATGTTTTAATTAGGGGTGGGACTTTGGAACCAAGAACCGGACAACCGAACCGGACCGAACCGTTATGACCCGGTTCGGTTCGGTTCCAAAATTTATATGTTATTTGTTAATGGTTCGGTTCCTATTTTTTATTAATGGTTCGATTCTCGGTTCCTGAAAAAAATAAGTACATAGAACCGTTAAGGAACCGTTATACATAATAATTAAAATTATTTATATTTCTTATTAGTATATATATTTTAATGTATATTTACTTATCTTTTTTATATAACATTCACCATTTTAGTTTAGCTATTAAACTATTTAAAATTGTTTTTCATTTTAATCGGTTCTCTTGGGATTCTTTAGCGAATATCTTGTTTTTACTAAAATTTACGGTTTCTTATGTATTTTTTTTTTTGGAAAGAAAAACTTTTATTGAATGAAGGGAAGAGTACAAAATGCGGAAAGAAAGGAAATACAAGAAAAGCGAAATTGAAAGAAAAATGACAGCAAGAACTATGTCCACGGAAGCTTTTGGACTGTGATCCAAATACGCAACTCAAAATCTACATGAAAACTCATAAGAACAAACGGCGTCATAATGCGGTTTGTTATGTATTTTATGTTTCGTTTCAAACTCAACTTTTGAGGTTTGAAATGATTTTCGGCATATTTGTATTGTAATTTCAAATGTTGAATGTCTTTTTGGCACAAATTTAACTGTGATTTGTAAAAAAAAAAAAGACAAGGAACCGTTAAATGACAAGAACTGAACCGTTAAGAATGGTTCGGTTCCTTATCGGTTCCATAAAATAATTTATAAGAACCGAACCGTTAGTAAAATTTCATATTTTCAAACGGTTCCACATATTTTGCCTAGGAATCGAACCGGTCCAAGGCCTAGTTTTAATTGCATTCAAGGTATTTTTTGAAATTGAGACTAGCAATATTATTAATTCAAAATGTCGTTAGCCAATTGGCTTACAATACAATCCGGAATAACTACATAACCACTACTATGATATGAGAGAGCTACGTGTGCTCTAGCAAGATTATGAGCAACACGATTCGCAGACCGTGGACAAAAAGAGATAGAAAATATACTCTTTGTGCTAACAAGATTTCGAATATCCTCAAGAATCAAGTTCAAATAAGCCATATTGTCGCCACGCTGAACACCTCGTATGATCACCTGTGCATCATATTCCAGCTCCACCTTTTCCCATCCCTCATTCATGGCCACCTAGAGCGCCTCCCTTATCCCTTTTGCTTCCGCTTCCGCAGGACATCATTCGGCTCTCACAGACCCGCCACCTGCTTTGACTAATTCTCCTTGATCATTCCTTGCAATCCAGCCCCAAGCTCTCCTTCCCCCTGAACATCCATTTTTGCATCCACATTTAACTTCAGAAAGCCTGCTCTCGGCTTACTCCTCCTGGGCTTACGTATGCCATGTCTGCTGCATGCCGTCCTCTCGTCCTCCTGTGCTTCTCTCCACACAAGAAGCATGCATGCACATCTATTTAACAGACTTGCCGTATCCTGCATCTCATCTCCCCACATTGGGGAATTTCTTCTCTTCCATAGTCCCCATACTAGCATAGCAACTTTACAACTCAACTCTTTATCCGAACCCGAAAGAAGGTTTTGAAATCATACCTCTACCAGTTCATCCCCGTGCCGAGGACCACTCCCACTGCCCGCCAAACTTCGGTTGCCTTCGGGCAAGATCTCAAAGCATGCTCTGTTGTCTCCTCTCCATGGGCACAAATCCTACACTCACTCGGGATAGGCACCCCCCTCCGTTCAAGATTTATATCCGAAGGGAGGGATCCATCCAATACCTGCCAAATAAAATATTTTACTTTTAGTGGAATTTTTAGGTCCCACATACCTTTCCATCCACCCCAAACTCCACCATAAACAACATTTTATGTTGCATAAAATTTTGTATACACCAGGATATTTTGATATTGGAGATCCTCTCATAGAATGTGATAAATGTAAAGCATGTATGTGGTACCAAGAAAGATCACATAAACACAAGGAAATCAGAACTCCTAAATACCATCTTTGTTGTGGAAATGGAAAGTTCAATTGCCATTCTTGAAAGATTCCCCAATCCTCCTTCAACATCTACTTTTTCATAATGGAGATCGTGAAAGTAAAAATTATCAAGAAAACATTAAAGTCTACAATATGATGTTTGCTTTCACATCAGTCATGTTAATGTAGTCAGTTTTTCCACACTTCACTTAAAGAGAGCACAGGACAGAATGAGGAACCAAGCTGACCAACATAGGAGTGATAAAGAGTTCCAAATTGGGGAATGGGTTTATGTCAAATTGCAGCCCTATAGACAACAGTCTGTAGCAAAAAGAATGAATCTTAAACTGGGTCCTAAATTCTTTGGTCCATTCGAAATTATACAAAGAGTGAGAAAAGTGGCTTACAAATTACATCTACCTAAGGAAGCTAAGATACATCCAGTCTTCCATATATCACAACTCAAGAAACATATATACCCCTGTTGGATGATCAAGTGGTAATTCAAGTGGAACCCAAGGAAGTGTTGCAAAAAAAATTGCCAAGAAGAAAGGGGTTGCTGCTGTATATTGGCTGGTCCAATGGTCGAATGGTGAAAAAGAAGATGCCACATGGGAGTCATATGAGGAGCTTACCAAGAGATTTCCAGAATTTGTGAGGAGACAAACTGTAGCTTGCGGTTCCAGAATTTTTAAGAGGGATGGATTGTTATTTTACATGACGTGGATACCATGTCATGCATTACGTGGATGTATATGATAGTAATACGTGGCTGATGTATACGTAGATTTTACATGTATATACGTATATTACGGATTAGTTGAAGTAGTTGAAACTAATCTGTTGAGACAGTTGCTGTAGCTTAAATGCGTATGCTTACAATGAAAGAGGGAGCTTTTGATTGTCATTGACCTCCTTCCCATTTCATAATTCTCTATAATTACTGTTCGAATTCTTTTCTTCTTCAAAGAATTCCTACTTCACGTATGTACTTCGAATTTCTCTCCTAGTACATAACAATTGGTATCAGAGTCGTCCCCATCTTCCTAGTCCCGACACTCAGAATGGTGGCCTATGGAGTGGTGGCTTGGGCCCTAGGGGTGCCAACCGTGACCAACATAGCCGTGACCAACGAGGACGTTGGCTCTTCGAAGCGTGGGGTATTGTTACGATCCCACACCGGTCAAGTATGGGCTTGACCGGTGGCTTATAAGCAAGGTGTTCCCTCCTCCTGATCGGCTGGTCTTTTAGGAGTGAGTTCTACACCTAGGCTCATGGCACTAGTATGGGCTAGGTCGTAACTGATGCGAATTCTATGATTACACCCTGAATCTTCCCTCCATCTTTTAGCTGAATTTAATGTACTTATTATCTGATTGAAAGGTTGAAATGAAGTCTCATCCTCATCCTGAGAGACCAGATCGTCTTCGAGCTATTGTCACTAGTCTTGGTAGTGCAAGTGCGCCATAACGTTTTAATCATCTTAGACATCACAAATGAGTGATTGGTGTGATGTTCATATTTTCATTAATATCCGAAGGTATATTTCCTAGGAAGTGTTATCCAATTTTAGTAAGGAAAATTACAAGGAAGGAACTTCAGATGGTAAGATTATGATAAAAGTGTCTTCTAAAAAAATTAGAAGCTCTAGGTCGTGACTGGCCATCATATTATTTCAAATTTAATCGTTTCCTTGTTAAAACAATGTATGATCATAATTAGATGCTGGGAGATAGAGCATCTTATATTGAGAAAAGAGTTGTACTTTCCCGATTCATGCTTCTATTATATGCTTTGGGGAATATATAGTTACATACTTTGGAGAATATTGAAGCTGTAGAATTTACAAGTCGTCTCCAGGATAAAAGTGCATTTCATTTTGTAAAAAAATGCCAACGTTAAATTTTACAAAGTGTAATATCATAATGCACTTGGTTTATATGCACATGATAGTTATTAGTTGCACTTTTTTAGATTTATTTTCATTTTTTATTTAAAAGTACATGGAATTGCACCACTAAGTAGAGTAAAGTGCATACTATAGAAAGTGGAGACTTATGAAATAAGTGTGAAAACAAATATACTAAAAGTATTACTTATTTAGATTCATTTCGTTAATGAATGATATGACACTTATCATTTAATTTACTATTAGTGCAAAATAAATAATATTTTTCTACCATACTGACTATTAGTCAATGAATTTGATGTCAATATAAATACACAAAAATGTGTAAATAAATATTAATAGTTCCTAAGAGGTGATAAAAAAATGAAATCAGATTTATGATGTATTGTTTATTTTAGGAAATGAAATAAACATTTAATTGAATTGATGATGCATAAAATTTCGAATAAAAGTACATTTACTCAATGTTTGAGTGCACATGAATGTATAATGAAATATTGCACCTAGAATGAAAAGGACGGAACGTACAAAATAATGCATAAGACCTATTCGAAAAGAAAGTGATTTAAGAGAAAGAATTAACAGGAATAAATGACTCTATTTATGAGGTAATTATTTTGCATTAATAATGATCTATATTGTAGGATAACTTCTCATATATGTAAACGTGTTGCTGATTACTTTTAGTTTTTTTCACGTAAATGCCCTTAAGCCATTATTATAGTGTTTATGTTACCAAATTTTGTGTGTGTATATAGGGAGCGGTTCCGGTAAGAACGGATCCTATGAGAGAAATGAGAATGAACCTGGACCATTGGATTGAATTATGTTGAACTGAATTGTGCATTTGGTGAAACTGAAATGTTCACTAGATGATATTTAAAAATGTGCAGAATAAAAATATAAACTCACATGTGCATTAGGTGAAACTGAAATGTGCATAATAAAAGATACAAAAATAACATCACATCGTACCTTTTATTCTGCACATTTTAGTTTCATGTATTGTACATTTCAAATTCACCTAATGCACAATTTAGCTTCACATAATGTCACTACATTGTACCATTTGTGCTGCACATTTCAATTTCACCTAATACACATTACAACTTCATCTAATGCACATTGAATTTCACATAAAGCAAATCTAACGGTCCAGATTCATTCTTATTTTTCTCATAAGATCATGTTCTTATTTGAACCAAAGCCTATATATATATATATATATATATATATATAGATAGATAGATTTTGGTTCAGGTGAGAAATGCATCTAATGTGAGAAATGAGAATGAATCTTAGCCATTAGATTTACGAAGTTGCACTAAAATTGGCTTTATGTTGCAGTAATATTTAAATTTTGCACATGTTGCACTAAAACTGTTTCATTTTGCACTAATATTTGACGGCGTTGCACCGAAATAGCTTCATGTTGCACTAGACACGTGTAATACGGATTTTTCAGAAGTATTTACAGAAATGCCACCGTGCTAGATTGCATATTTCAGTGCATCATGAAGTGTCTTTTACTGCAACTTAGTCGAATCCAATGGCTGAGATTCATTCTCATTTCTCACCCAAAGGGTTCTTCTCACTTGAACCTTACCCTATATATATATATATATCTTATATAAAAGCTTATAATTGTCAATGAGGGTAAGGACATTTTAGACATGAAAAAATGTTGGTATAATCATCTAGCTTTATAATGTTGTACATTATGTTTTGACATGTGTACTCTTTCGGTAATTTATTTTGCCGTTTAATATCCATGCACTACTCCCGTCTATTCCTCCGTTTTATTTTAGACGGAGCTCTGGCGAATCAGCATAATGTGGAAGATGAATTCGCGACATCGATTAGCATATATATGACCTCCTCTGCGACCGCGAATGACACCCAGCAGCGAACATTTCCCATCAAGCGGCGGACGGAGTACACTGTACACGGAGTCTGCTTGGACCAACAATGTTGGTTTTGCTGGCTTGCTGCTCCAGCCCTGCGGCGTTTCAGCCTCTATCGTCATGGATTTCAGACTGCAACCGGTTGGTCCGGCCACCTCGTAGACGGCGGGCGACCATAGAGACAACTCTACAATTCCAAGGAGTCATTATTGGTGGAGTTCCTTGTAGCTTCTGGAGGAAAAACACAAATGATGAATTCTTCCTCCATTTGACAGATTTAAAATCAACATATCTTAATTGTAGACGTTGTAGTGGGCTAGGTTTTAAAAGAACTGCTGCAATTCCTTAGGAATTCCTCTGATGAGCTGTTATATGATTGTGCTTTTCAAAATCAGTTGACTCCCTTAAAAAATCATTAAAGTGATTATTCTTGTTATTTAATGGCCTCTGTCTTTTGGTATTACTGTTTCTATTCGTGGAGTTTGATTCTGAAATGCTTCATGATTTCTTAATAATGCTCATTTTCAAACCTCATGTGAGTTCATAGAATAGGCGTTTCTTCATCTTTCTAAAACATTTTGTCATCATGTTCAATGGTTGATGATTATTTGTTTAGTTGATACAAAAAAATGACGAACTACCCATGTCTAGTGGTGGCTTCGGGCCGGGCTGGGCCGGGTCGGACCTAGGCCCGGGCGGGCCGGCAGTTAAGAATTGGTGGACCCGGGACCAGCCCGGGTAGCCAAAGTCCGGTCCGGGTCTGGGTCCGGGCCGGGCCGGGCCTGCGGTTTTTTTTCTTTCCTAACTTACCCTCACCCCCCTTCCCACCTCCCCAAACCCTCAAACCCCTCCTAACCATCGAGCCCAACCCGGGTGAAACCTTAAAAAATGAAAAATCCAAGGCTGGACCCGCACCCCACCCCGGGGCTAGGCCCGACCCGGACCCGAGAACCGGGACGGTCCCGCACAGTAGCGGGTCGGGCCGGTCCACGGGCCGGGTGGCCCGACCCGAATCCACCCCTACCCATGTCATGTATGGAAGCATGGAAGTTATTGTAGGGAAATCACTTGTTATTTTAAATGTTAGTCATATACTCCCTCCGTCCCATTTATATTGTCCCGTTTTACTTTTTCGGGAAGTCGCACTTAAATTGTCCCATACCATATTTGGTAAAGTTTGTGTGGCTCAAAGTCATTCTTACTTTATTCTTACTTTATCAATTAATATCAACCACACAAACCCACTTTTCTTAAAACTCGTGCCACTTTCTTCCGTCCTAATATAAAAGGGACGGAGGTAGTATTTGTTAGAGAAATTTAAGGTAGTAATATTTGAGTAATTTTTTCTAAAAAAGGATAACTACATATAATCTAAAAGGATAACTACATACGGAGTATAATCTACACTTAAAAGTTGTACATATTGACTATTATTTTAGTTCATATCATCTACTTTTGTTAATTTTTCCTGAATAAGCTATGTTTATCATATTTGGTTTTAAATGTATGTGCATGCGGAATATGTCAATTCCAAAAGGACTGTGCTCAATGGCTCATGCAAACTAGATGTCCTAGCATGCTATTTATGACCAAATGAGGTAACTCTTAATCATATTGTTGTAAAATGTATTAAAAATTCGATTATTTGGATACTCCTATTATAGAACTTATAAAATATTAAGCATGCTGATTATGATCAGAAACTTATCGACTTACCTGCTTCATTTTGCTAGCTTGCTTTCAAACTATTGTAAAATATACGTAGTAGCATTTTTCCGTGGGAGCTTCGGATTTGCTTGCCTATGCTGATGCTGCTGCTTAGCTTAGCCACAACTTCTGGTGCATACCAACCCACCGGATCAACTCCACTTACCCTCAGGCAGCTTCTGTGAGTATAATGACTTTTCAGATCAGAAGGGATAAACCCAAGCCAGCTAGCTTTACATGGAAGTAATAAGTTTAATAACTCTCCAAGGATGATGAGGCAGAGTTGGTTGTTGGTCTGAGAAGAATATTTGATGGATTCAATTCACCATGGAAAAGGCTTCTTCAATGTAAGTACTCCAACCCACTTTCAACCTGAAGCATAATGTCAACTGCAACTGGGATAGAAAAGGACATTCTTCTCCTTCGCCCAAAATTCTCCTTCATGAAAATGCCCAAACTCTTGCTCATTAAGTCCATCACGTACAACAAACCCTCTTTCCTTGATTCATCATAGAATCTGCTATGGTATTGTAGCACGTTCGTGTAACACCGCCCCCAAGTATTTGTACTTTATCAAATTATGTATTGAACCCAAGAAATGAATAAACGCATTTTACGTGATTGTGAATTTTTATCATTTCTGTTACGTGAATAGTAAAATTCACGTGGGGCCCACACCGGAAGTGGGGGCCGCCCGATTGTATCGGGACCACATATCATATTCGTTTGGACCAAGATAATATGTGTATGAGGGTGGATACCCTTTTTGGGTCATAGAAATCATGTGAGTAACCATTTGGGCATATAAAGCTCATTTATCGGTACCGAAGTAACATCAGATAAAAAGCCATAATAAATTATGGAGACCATTAAATTAAAAGTTGGGGGATATACACCCATTCTATTTGCCAATAATAATTGGAAGGATTATATATATTTCATTTGACCCGATAAAATGAAATATAGTTTAAACAGTCCGGAAAATACAACTTTCGGGACCGAGTATACACTTGGGGACACAAAGGGATGACCTCCCACATATGTGGGGGCCACCCCACGTAATTATTTGAGACAAAGGAAGGA